GACCCCTACACTTATTTTTAAAAGTATATTATTTTATGTGTATGAGAGTTTTGCCTATGCATATACACATACACAATTGTGTTTATGTATCCATATACATGATACATACATACATACATACATACATACATACACACCACACCATACACACACACACATACACACACACACACCAAGTGCCTGCTTAGGTCCCGTGGAAGCCAGAAAAGCATTTTGGATCCCTTGGAGTTACAAATAGTTGTGAGCCACCATGTGGGTGCTGGGAATCAAACTATGCATTTTCTAGAAGAACAGCCAGTGCTGTAGACACTATAAGCCATCTCTCTAGCTGTCCTCTCTAATTTTTGAGACAGCATCTCTCACTGAGCCTGGAGCTCACCCATTTGACTATTCTAGCTGGCCAGCAAGTCCCAGGGAATATATTGTCTCTGCTTCTTCAGATATAAGCTACTATATCTGGTTTGTGTGTATGTGTATGGGTTGGGGGGGGGGTCTGGGGATCCAAACTCAGTTCCTCAAGCTTGCACAGCAAGCACTTATCAACAGCTAACTCCCCAGCTCCTGTTTTGTTCACTGTGGTTTTGTTGTTGTTGTTTTTCCCTGAAAGGATTGAAGAAATAGATCTTTTTTTTTTTTTTTTAAATTTATTTTGGGACAGGGTCTGATTGTGTAGCCCTGGCTAGCCTCAAACTCACAGAAGTCCACATGCCTCTGTTTCAGCAGTGCTGAGATTACAGGTGTGTGGCACCAAACCAAGCCTATATTTGTTTATAGAATGGCAAAATTTGTTTATATTTATTAGATACACATTTATTCTGTTTGGGGTTTGGTTGGTTGGTTGGTTGGTTGATTTTTGTTTTCTGTCACCCCCACATAAAATTTAGTGTCCTCCTTTCCCCCTTTTACTTTGCTAACCCATGGGTTCCAATTTGTACTGTCCATCTACATACTTCTGGATGTAGGGTTATCGACTGGACAGTGGTTTGTTGTGTCTTGGCTTTTTAGTTTAAGTTGTTTTTTAACTTTTTTGTTGTTGTTGTTTTTCGAGACAGGGTTTCTCTGTTGCTTTGGAGCCTGTCCTGGAACTCACTTTGTAGACCAGGCTGGCCTTGAACTCACAGAGATCCACCTGCCTCTGCCTCTCAAATGCTGGGACTAAAGGCATGTGCCACCAACACCCAGCTTGTTTTTAAACTTTTAAATTTCATTTTATGTGCATTGGTGGGTGTTTTGCCAGGACCTGTGTACCACTTAGATCCCCTGGAACTTGAGTTAATGACTGTTGTGAGCCAGCCAGTAGTCTTAACCACTGGTCCATCTCTCCAGTCCCTCGTACTGTTTTTGATTTTCAACTTTTTGTGCTGCTGGTAATCAAACTTAGTACCTGGTACATACTAAGCCTATGTTGTATACTTTACTTCTTTGTTATTTTAATCTAAATAATCAACAAATAGGTTTCTTTTTTTGAATTTGTGCAATCTTGATAATCTTGGTGAACTGGAAAATGCAATTAAAATTGTTTGACTATGAATCTAGGATTTAGAGATGGATTATTTTATGGAAAGTGGTTTTAGAGGGAGTTGGGGAGGGGCGAAGAAGTTCAAGATACACTGTGTGAAATCCTCAAAGAACTAATAAAAATGTTAAAACTTATTCTACTTTTAATTGGTGCAGGGTCTATTACTATGGCTAGTTTATATTGATTATAGCTTGCTGTTATACATTGATTTGATTTTCCTTCTTCTCAAGGACTCACCTGCCATTGGACCCAGAGGCCTTTTTGTGGGAGACCTTGTTACTCATCTTCAGGATTGCCCTGTTACTAACGTACAAGATTGGAATGAATGTTTAGATACCATTGCATATGAGCCCCAAATTGGTTACTGTATAACTGCATCAACGTTACAACAATTAAGCTTTCCAGTTAGAGGTGTGTGCATTTTCTCAATATAATATAATATTTCAAGTACCAGTCCCTTCCATTACTAACCTTGAGACCATGTCTATAGATTTATTTTGTTAAGTTGTTTTAAAGCACATAATTAAAATAAATAGGCCCAAACTAATAGATATTCTTCTTAGTATGTTGAGTATTTGTTTCCTATATTACATGTTGTTGAACTTCTAATTTCTTTTATAATATTATATTTGACTTTTAGAACTGAAATCACTTTTGTTTGGGCTGAGAGTATAAATCAAGTGACAGAAGATTTGCATTATATGCAAATTTACATATATGCATAATTTGCATAATATGTACAAGGACCCGAGTTCCATCTCTAGTACCACAAAAAATAATAATTTTTAAAAACATTCTTAATTTTTTTAATGTGTAAAATCATCTGGATGTGGTGGTGAATATCTTTAATCCCAGCACTTGGTAGACAGAAGCAAGAAGACCTCTGAATTCAAGGCCAACCTGTTCTACAGAGTGAGTTCCAGGATAGCTAAAGCTACAAAGAGAAACCCTGTCTCAAAAAAAAAACAAAAAAAAACAAAAAAAACCCAAAACAAAATCTACAAAAATGTGTAAAATCAGCATCCATGCTCAACAGTGTGTACTCTGGGTATGTAGCTCAGTAGTAGAGTGCCTGCCTGCCTGACTTTGCATGAGGCATAAGGTTCAAACCCCACTATAACTGAAATCAAAACCAAAAATCAAAACAATCAACCACTATAATTAATCAACCACATTTTAGTAAATAATCCACTGTAGTACGATATTTTTCACATGTGTAGACACATAAATGTACCTAAATCTAAGTCTAATTTTAAGCATTTTAAAAATTTTTGAGATCAAAATATACTTACATTTCTCCCTTCCCTTTACTCTCTCAAAACCCTCCTATATACCCTTCCCTACTCTCCTTCAAATTCATGGCCTCTTCTTCCTTTTTTTTTTTTTCCACTGCCATGCTTTATTTTTCCCGTGGCTTCTTTTATCATTCTTTTATCAAATGTTATTGAATACATGTATGTATATACATACATACATACATACATACATACATACATACATACATTCTTAAATATACCCTATTCAATCAATATAATGTTACCTGCATTTGAACAAGCAGTTGATGTGTTCTTCCTGGGGGAGATCATCTTGCCTGCTCCTAGCTATGTCTAATATTTTAAACTCAACAAGATGCAATTCTTGGCAGATGATTTCCCCCTTTGGTAGTGAATGAACACTGAGTTAAACTTATATATGCTATTATAGGAACAGATAAAGAACTAATAGCTAACAACCAAAGAAATAAGATTAGTGCATAAGCATTCTGTAATTACACAGACATGCAATACACTCAGTACATGTAAAAGTATCCCTTCATAGTTGAGTGGTGGCACCCACCTTTAATTACAACCCAGGACAGGCAGAAGCAGGTGGCTATCTCTACAAAAAAGAAAGAAAAATCTCTTCCTTTTTTTCACCAAAAACACCTAAGCAGAAGCATTTCTAGTAGCCATGTGTGAATGCTAATGTGTCAAAACTTATATGGGATAATGTTCTTTAGTGTGTTTTCTATAGCAGAAATTTGGGGAAGTTTGTCTTGAAATCCAAAGAGACATGGAAAATAGGTCTGTTGGCCTGTGCAGCAGTGAGAAGGCTGAAGCAAATTTCAGAGAACCCGATAAACTTATTTAACTCTTAAAAGGTCACCTCCCATTTTTTTTCAGATTTAATATTCCATATATTCATGAGCCTATTATTATAAAACATTTCCCTTATTTCTGCATTTATTTATTGTGTGCATGTATGGGGGGATTGCAATTGTGTGGAAATCAGAGGACAACTTGGTGAAGTTGTTTCTTTCCTTCCACTTTTCTGTGGGTTCTAGAGATGGAACTCAAGTCACTGGGCTTTTGTAGTTGGGTGACAAGCACTTTCAGTTACTGAGCTGTTTCATCAGCCCCTTTCCTATTTTTTAATACTTAGGGTTTTTTTCTAATGTTACAGTGTTATGCCTTCTAAATCTCAATTTATTGCAATACCACTTGTTTTAGAAATGTCATGTGTTTATTGAAATGGGGCAACTTATTTTCTCAAACTTTACCTAGTCTGTCTTGTTCAAATTTAGAGGCAAATTTTGATACAGGATTCTTTCTCTCACACTTCCCTCAGCTTCTCCTTCCCTCTCTCTCCTCCCTTCTCCCTGTTTGTCTGTCTCTTGTTGCTGTCTCGGGCCCTACATCTCTCACTCTTTTTCTCTCCCTCCCTTTAAAGTATTTCACAGGTAATGCTTGGTACTTTTTTGTATGACTTCAGGAGATGTCCAGATGTCTGGTGTTCTCTTGCTCACTAACATTAAGATTTTTTTAAGTGACCAATCTAATTCTTTAAGGTTGAAACATTTTCAGAGTCCCTTACTCACAAAAGTTCCTTTTTAGAAGTAAGCAGATAGGACCTTCACTATATACTTCGGAGAACATGGAGTTACTATCACAGAACCTAAAATTCACTCTAGCTTTGGCTTTATAGGTGGGTCAGTTTATAAGAACAACTAACAGGGAGTAAGTGAATGTTTCCTTGTTTATTTTTTATGGAGTAAGTGAAGGTTTGCTTGTTTATTTTTTAGACAGTCTCATATAATCCAAGTTGATCTTAAACTCAGTACTTAGTTGAAGATGTTCTGGCCCTTCTGCCTTCACCTCCTATGTGCTGGGATTATATGTATTTACCACCTTGGCTGGTATATAGGATGGCAGAGATCAGACCCAGGGTTCCACATGTGTTGTGGAATTTCCTGCCTACTTCTGTAGCTGCCTTGCCCCAAATGAACACTCAGAGATGTATATTAATTATAATACTGTTGGCCAGTAGTTTGGACTTCTTATTGGCTAGCTCTGTATTTTTAAACCATAACAACTATCTATGGGTTTCTACATGGTCTTGGCTTACCAGAGAATGCCTTGTGCATCCTCTTTTCCCAAGCTCACATTGTGACTCCTCTCTGCCTACACTCTGCAAGTATTTTTCTCCTCTGGTAGACCCACCTATCTTTCATGTCTGACCACTATCCACACAGTGTTTTATTCATCAACCAATAAGAGAACATGCACAGAATAACATCTCCCATCATCTCCACTTTTCTGTCTAAATGAAAAGAAATGTTTTAAATTTTAACATAGTCAAATTATATATAACAAAAAAGCTTCTATGTAAAAACTATAATTGCAATATTTTGTTCATTAACATTTGGCAAAATCATATCTTTGTGAGTCAAAAGTCTTATATGTAACTTATCTTTTATCAGAACTAATGAAAACATAACTACAATTATCTCCCTTCAAGTCCATCAAAGACCTCAGAAGGATAATATATAAACTCTAAAATTGACAGAAACATCTCCCTGCCTGGTCAGTCATCTAAAGTTCCTCTGTAATGTTGGAGCAACATTCAGTCCATAGGCCATATTGTGTCTGGCACACTTCTCATCAAAGTAGGAAATTTTAAACTGTCACACCTGTATTGGCAGTTTGTCAGTCATTTTACTATGTGTCTTGTAGAGTATCTGCCAGACTCTTCTGTGAAGCAGGAACCCATCTTGTTTTTGGCAAATTTAGCAGTCACTTTTATGTGGGTCCTGCATGTCCACCTTATAATGCACACAGTCAAACAGTCCAGGCAAGAACAGTTTCTTGCCCAAATGGCTATTTCTGCTATGTTGTAGGGCAAACTCCATAACGAGATTCTTCCATGGCCATCTTCCTCTCTCAAGTAATTGGTGTTGCCAGGAGCAGTTGTGTCTCAATGTCATGAAAAACCCTAAACTATTCTAAATGCCATATTCTGTAGGTCTTTGAAAGGTTTGAAAACTATCTGTCCATCTCAAATATACCTCTGTATACCTAGAAAACCTAATTAACATAACTATAAGTTTTGACTCTTATGACTATCTGTTGTTACGAGTATGTTTTTTCCTGCCGGCCTGGGCCCACTGCCACGCCAGCCCCAAATAACACACAGATGCAGTGTTTGATATAAAGCTGTTGGCCAGTTACTAGTTTCTTATCTGCTGACTCTGTCTTAAATATTAACCCATTTCTATTAATCTAAGTATTTCTACATGGTCTCATCTTACTGGAGAATGGGCTGGCATTCTACTCTCTCAGTCCACCATCTTGGATCTCCTCTTTACTCCTTCCTCTCTCCTCCTAGTCCCCTAGTCCTGCCTATCTTGCTTTCCTATTGGCCAACAGTGCTTTATTCATTAACCAATACGAGAAACATATTTACAGAATAACATCTTCCATCAACTATCATCTTATTTAATTAAACATTACATTTTTAAAAGATCTGTATAAACATAATACCTAAAAAAGAGGAGAGATGTACATATAACAAAGTTTATCTTAAATTTGTATTAATTACCCACAATCTGTATCAATGTAAAGTATTCATTTCTATATCATACATGTACTAGACAAACACTATACCAACTGAGCTATATTAATGTCAAGCCCCTGAGTGTAGCTTCTCATTTCAAGTTGGATCTTTTTAATATTATAAAATCAAACTATAGCCAGTAGCTGTCAAGGTATATACTGCATTATCAGTTGCTTCCAGATTTATATGTTTTATATATTTTTCTCTCTAAAAGCATAATTTTTAACAAATATACTTTTATGTAAATGGACTCTTATAAGCACTGTGTTTCTTTTTAGCATACAAACGACTAGATGGTTCTACTGAATGCTGTAACAATCACAGCCTCACAGATGTGTGCTTTTCCTACAGAAATAATTTCAATAAGCGTTTGGTAAGTTGTCCCCAAGGCAGTCTTACTTGTCTGATATAATTACTGAAATAAACAGGTAAAGCTAAAACAAAAGCCCTAAAACTTTCTTTATTCTATTTACTTTGTGTCATTTAATAAGATCTCTGTGTTTCAGATGTCACATTTACTCTAATAAATCTATAGTGGTATGATATCCACATAGCAAAAATGGGACATTAAAATTTAATTTATAGTATGTGCACATTAATAGCATTCCTTTCATATGAAGGTTATTCCTAATCTACGGGGTGACAAGAAAAACCTGGAGGAATGCAACCTAGATTTTTCTTGTTAATACATATTTTTTAATATTGACTAATACTGTATTTTTAGCATACGTGTCTACCTGCCCGGAAAGCAGTTGAAGCTACTCAAGTTTGTAGAACCAATAAAGACTGCAAAACCAGCTCAAGTTCAAGTTTTTGTATAGTACCATCATTGGAAACTCATACTCGATTAATAAAAGTGAAACATCCACCTCAAATTGATATGCTGTATGTAGGGCACCCACTGCATCTTCACTATACAGGTGGGTATTATTGGAGTAGACTCTTAAAAATAATTAAGATCAAATATATTCTCAGTTGCAAGAATTGAATACAAATCCTTGTTTTGATTCCATTTATTATAAATTTGATCCCTTATCAATTAAAATTTTATTAACTTATTATTAAGCATTAAGTAGAGTTAAAGTAAAAGAAAAATACTTACAGACTGTAGAAAATGACACTTCTTTTTTTCCCTATAATTTTTGACAAAGTCTGATATTTTACCATGAGTTCATAAAATGTATCCATACTCCCCAAAATAGTGGCAAAAGCTATTGTGATTACCAGAATACGTAGAAGTGTGTGACACATGAATGCTTTTGTCTTTTGAGACAAGGTTTCATATAGCCAGTACTGGCCTCAAACTCCCTATATAACTGAGGACAATGTTAACCTCTTGATCTTCCTGTTTTCTCTTCCTGAGTACTGGGGTTTTAGGAGATATACCACCACACCCTGTTTTATATGGCCCTGGGGATAAAATCCAGGGCTTCACACATGCTAGGCAAGGACTTCACCACCTGAGCTTTATCTCCAGCCCAACATGAATATAATTTTATCATAATCATTTCATAATGACAAGTTGATTGTACTAAATATGTAACTTCTCCATATGATTGAATATTATATAGTACAACTCATTATACAGGCTTTTATATGTTACTTTAAAAAGTAAATTGCTATACAATTTATCTACTTGAATATCTAGAGATGTGCAACCATCACTCCCTGAGTCTCCTCAACATCCCTTGTCCTTGGCAACCACCGATATACTTTGTTTCTATAAATGTACCTGTTCTATAAGTTTCATATGAATTGAATATTTTACAGCTGGCTAATTGCATATAGCATAATGTTTTCAACATTTATCCTTACTGACCATATTTCCTTTATCCAGTTATCAGTAAATGATATTTGCATTTTATGCTATTCTTGAAAAGGCTTTTCTTTGTGTTTTTTATATTTTTGTTTTTAATAAGACTCACTATGTAGCACTGGCTGGCCTAGAACTTGCTACATATACCAGGCACACCTTAAATTAATAGAGATCTTTCTTTCACTGCCTCCTGAGTGTGTGCCCCAACCACACACAACACTGCTTCATAGTTTTTGTCCTTTTTGGTTTTTTTTAGACTGGGTTTCTCTGTGTAGCCCTGGCTATCCTGGAACTCACTCTTTAGACCAGGCTTGCCTCAAACTTACAGAGATCTGCCTACCTCTGCCTCCCAAGTTCTGGGATTAAAGGTATGCAGCAGCCAGTGCAGTTTGCCTTATAGTTAGTTATATATTGAGAGACAACCTGCATCATTTTCCTTGTTTATTGGTTTGATATTAAGTGACTCCAGGTACCAGTATACTCTTAATAAATGATGAATTGGTTCTGATTCTGTGAGTTTTGCCTAATGACTATATGTATTTTATATGCTTTGGACCAAAACAGGGTTATTAATCCACAGACAGGGACTTTAAAGACCCCCTTGAGTTACTCTTTGTCTTAGCAATAAAGAAGCAACCAGTAAATAGCATAATACTTGGAACAAATGAAATTTTTAGAATATGCCTCTTTGAAAGGAAAAGAATGCTTTAAATATAACATACTTTCAAGTCCCAATTAATATTTGGTAGTCATAATTGGTATGTAGTCTGCTTTGTCTTAGCTGCACCAAAAAAGTATACATTGGGACATGCGTTTTTTTCATTCCACTATATTTAGTAGACGTTTATTAACTGCTTTTTTTCCCTCCTTCTTTCCCTCTTTCTTTCCTTTCTTCTTCTTTTTTTATTTTGTTTTGAGACAAAGTCTTGCCATATAAACATGGCTGGCCTGGAACTTGCTACTTAGACCACAAAGATCTTCCTGCCTCTGCTTCCCAAGTAATGGAATTAAGGCCCTGGCCTTGATTTCCTTATATATAAGGTATATAGCTTGCTCACACATGTGTAGGAATGTTTTGCTCATCCATTTTTATAGACTAGTGCAATTTTGACCATATGATAAATTTATACTGTTATTGCTTATCCACTGTGGATAATATTTATTATTACTTGTTTTTCATTTTTAGTGAGCATCACAAGTTTTATTCCACGTTTCAACTTTCTAAGCATAGATCTGCCAGTGATTGTGGAGACATTTGTCAAGTATCCTTTCTAGTTTGAAAAATACTTTAAAAGTGTGTTATTTGTAGCTTCATCATTTTTACCTTGAGTAGAGCATTACAAATAGAGAACTTATAATTTAATTGCTTACAACCAATAAAAAGACTTTAAAGATGAAAGAGATTAGGTTTTACATATGAGGGAAATGTTAGCAAAGAAAACTCGAGCAGGTACAAAAAAGGTTAAAATATGGAAAGGAGAATTGTGAGAAGAGCAGCGGATGGGCATCACAGCTCCTTGGCTACCAGGAAAGAAGTGTCTGAAGCTCCAAGAGAGGGTGGGCTCTCCTCACAGGAGCTTCCTGTCTCCACTGCTCTATCCTCAGTTTTCCTCAAGAATTCCAAGGAGTGTTCTGTCTGTGTGCCATGTACATGCAGTGCCCACAGAGGCCAGAAGAGGGTGTCAGAAGTGAGTTGCATGTGGTTGTGAACTGCCTTGTGGGTACTAGGAATAGAATCTAGGTCCTCTTCAAAAGCAAGCACTGCTCTGCTGAGACATTTCTCTAGCCCCCCCCCTCCCAAACATACAGTTTTGTAGAAATATACTGGAGATATATAAATATGCCTGTTAAAAAAAAGTGCAGAAATGAAGGGACCCATAATACAACTCAAGAGTTTCATTTATAAGAAGTTTATAAAGGATGAAACTTCCATTACTCGTGCGGTGATGAATTCTGCCTGGCTTGAGCTTTTTCTCCCAATTTTGAATCAGAGTCTTGCAATGTAGCCCTGGTTGTCCTGGAACTTACTCTGTAGACCAGGATGGCCTTGAACTCACAGAGATTTGCCTGCCTCTGCTTCTTGAGTGCTGAGATTAAAGGCATGTAACACCCACCACCTAGCCCAACTTGAGCTTATTAATAAATTCTGGACAGTGGTGGTGCACGTCTTTTATCCCAGCACTTGGGAGGCAAAGGCTGATGAATCTTTGTGAATTGGAGGTCAGCCTGATTTACAGAGCAAGTTCCAGGACAGTCAGCACTACACTGTGAGACCCTACCTAAAAAAAAAAATGGGGGACTGGAGAGATGACTCAGCATTTAAGAGCACTGACTGCTATCACAGAGGATCCAGGTTCCATTTCCAGCACCCACATACTGGTTTACCACCATCTATAACGCCAATTCTAGGGAATCAAAACACTTGTTCTGACCTCCATGGCCTTCTTTATGCATGTGGTAACATACATTTACACATGCACACATATACACATAAAATTTAAAACAATTTAAGTAATTTGGGGACTGGTATGTTGGTGCATGCTTGTAATCCTAACACTTAGGAGGCTGAGACTAGAACAACATTAGCCTATGCAGCAAGACCCAGTTTCAAGATTTAAAGAGATAATAATGTGGGAGCTGGCATTTTAGTTCAGTAGTAGAGCATTGCCTGTGTGCACAAGACCCTAAGATTGCAGCAATTTTTTCATTTATTTCTTAGCCCTTCACTTCTCTCCCTTTATTGTATCATTAAAGGATTACAAAAGCTTAATCTTCTTAGGAATGCATTATAGATTGTTTAGTTTGCCTTTGTTTTTCTATTCAAAGTTTTGACCTTTAAACAAATATTAACTGATTTATTTTAAATAGAGCTATAAGAAAGAGTGTTAGAGACATAAAGTAGAGAAGCCTACTGTAATCTAACCTCCCAGTCCAGTGTCTTCTGGCTTTTCAAAAGATGATTTCCACTTGCACCTCACAGCACTGCCTTAACTAATCTTTACCCAGGTATCTGATTTCTCTTTCCGGAGCTCTTGCTATTGTTAATGCAGTACCCTGCTTTGCCTTGGATGGTCAATGGATTTTAAATTCTTTCCTGGATGCTACCCTTACCTCAGTGATTGGAGACAATGATGTCAAAGATCTGATAGGATTTTTCATCTTGCTTGGTGGCAGTGTACTTTTGGCTGCCAACGTGACCCTGGGACTCTGGATGGTTACAGCACGGTAATATTTGTTCTCATCCAACAAAAAGCATCAAGTACAACTATGTGGGAGTATCTTTTGTCATTGAAATTCTTCCTAGGTATGAAGTATAAAGTGTTTCCTTAAAAAAATCTTGGCCAGCACCTTTGAGCTCTTCCTATATCTAGAGCATCCAAACTCTGTAGTGAAGAAGTAGTGGAAGAAATGAAAAAATAATTCTTGTCTACATCCTAGTTTTAAAGATTGAATGGGCAAATTTTGAATGTTTGTGGAACAATTTTTAAAGAAGTGAAAATCCACTCATGTAATACCATTTTGTGTGACTATATAGCATTTTGGAGTAGTAAAAGGGAAAGCAGAATCTAGTAGTAAAATTGTGTGTGTGTGTGCGTGTGCGTGTGCGTGTGTGTGTGTTACTAGAGTTTGAAACCAGGGCCTCACTTATACTATTTATGCTAAGCAAGCTTTCTACCCCTGAGCTTATCTCCTGTTCCAGGCAAAATTTATTGAAAAGTGCCATTAAGATGGTGTGGTGGTGCACACCTATAATTCCAGCACTTGCCTATGCATTTGGGAGGCTAGGCAAAAGGATCATGAATTCAGGGTCATCCATCTTTAACTACTTAGTGGGTTCTGGATCAGCAGTGTCTACATAGCAAGACCCTGTCTCAAACGTGTGTGTGTGTGTGTGTGTGTGTGTGTGTGTGTGTATGTGTGTGTGTGTGTGTGTGCATTCACACGCATGAACACACACACCACATTCATCACTAAAGATTTAAGGATACTGAATTTTGGTTAAATGGAAGATTGAGCAAGTGTTCTTGGTTTTATAATGTGTGTCTTTATCTTGTTTGGAAAGTATTTTAAAACTCAATGGTATATTATACCATACTGTGAATACCAAGGTCTGATTACAGTTAAACCAGTGAAATTCTATGAAAGTATCTGCTAACATGAAAGCAAAAACTCTCTGCAAGTGATACCAAGTAAAGAGGCAAAGTTGAAAGTAGATAAGGCCTGTGATGTGATAAGACAGTTTTGTATTCCCTTTTTCATAGAGAATCTCTACACCCTCACAACACACTAGCCTTGTTCTCTAGAGTATGCTGCAGGAAGGACCTCCCACAGCAGCATGTGAGCTCAGGCAGTTAGAGGTGAATTTGAGGACTAAGCCTAATCCTCTAACAGATCACAAAAGAACAGACACTGCAGCAAATCTCAGAACCACTTTCTAGAGTTTTGCAGCTTGGAACTTTTCCAGGGTAGACCTTTTCCTTTATGCTGCAACAGCATTCAACCCTGAGCCATACATACTCTGTCCTCACCAGCATCTAGTATGTTTCTCTCTGCCGGGGGATCAAACACCTAATCTTTGTTTTCTGTCTCCCCCTAAGCTACCTCTGTGAGCACATAAAAACTTAGTAGGATAGTGAGAAGGGCTGCACAAATGTGGATTTCCCAGAGCCTAGGAACAGACTCTTGAACCCTAAAGAACACCAGTTGGTCTTGTGGGTAGCAGTGGAACCCTGGGAAATCAGAGTCAGCCGTCCTGTGTGAAGCTGTTAGTCTTAGGGATGTCTGCACATACTGTTTCTTTCATGAAAAATACACATTTGATGAAACACACACACACATTAGAAGTAATAAAAGGCATTGATTCATTCATTTATAGCCAGATATATACCTCCTTCCTGAAGTAAGTTACTTCATGAGGTCACCTTTTTAAGAACATTAAGTATCTTAAATGCCTAAAACTTTTAAATCAATTTTTAAAAATTTTTTAGACTTTATTACAAATTTACCTTCATTCTCTAACAAGAATCATACACTGAATATCATTTTGAGATTTTATTAATGATGGGCCATTAGTTGCTAACAATACTAAAGGCATAGAAATTTAGTAATTTTTAGTTATTATCCCAGAAAATATGGCATTTGTTGTATTCTGTGGTCACTCAGGACCAAAATGTACTTGCATACTAAAAATGCACAGACCTTTTCAGGTAAAGCTTTGAGATTGCTGTAAAATACTCACATAATTAACTTGGTCACATGCATTAAGCAGTTTATTAATGAAAATGTATGTGTGTAAATTATCTTTTTCAATACCGAGGAAAACAATTATTGTTTGGTGTGGTACTTATAGAACCCAGCATCGATAGCCTCACACATGCTAGCAAGCACTCTACCACTAACCTACCCCATAGGCCATGAAAATATTTTAATAAGAGGAAACACTATCCACTAACTTCATTTTCTGAGTGAAAGCAACAACAAAACAAAACCTCACTTCAAATTAGCTGCTAACCACCTCTGTCAGCTAATCTGTAGGGTCAGGGTGTGGAAACTTCTCTCCTCCTGGAAATCCAGCAGATTTGTATACAAATGGCTTCATTGATTAAGAAAGGAGATGTTACATATTGTCTCTTCAGCTTCACTGTGGGCTCTTCTACTGTGAGTGTGCCATTCATACTCAGCTTTGTTTCCCAGCACAGTGCATGCGATATTAAAAGTGCTTAATGTACTTGAATGGATGATGGTTTGTGTTTATTTATCGATAGAAAAGCATGCTTCTATTTAAGTAAGATGTAAAAAGGATTGTTGAATATTTACTGTACATATATGTTAACATAAAAAACATTAGAAGGGGCTTATGTCCCTGGTGTATTATCATCTTTATGGAAAAAACCCATTTTGATTTCTGTAGAGCAATTAGAAAAATGAATTATATTGGAAAAATTATTTATGTTGGTGATTTGAAGTATCTCTGTGTTGTCACCTTGTTCAACAGTAAAACTTTATTCTCAGTGTTCCTATTCTGAATTGTTTACATTTTAAGGTTTTTATTTTGGTCATTTGTAATTATAAAGAATGTATATATTATTTTCAGCATCTCAGTTTGAAGAGACATGTAGTTAAACTTGACTTTTTGATAATCATTTCTAGGTCATCATGCTAACAGGAAATTGTAAACATATGCTTCATAGTGATGTGGCTCTCTGTCATCATTGTGTCCTTAGTATTTGAGCATCCACATACTAGTAGCACACAGATAATGTTTTCAATAACTCTTTTGAGTGAGCTGTAATTCCTTTCTAGGATTTAACTTGATGGTATAATAATTGTCAGAATTTGATGTTTAGCAATAAAAGAATACATGTTAAAGAGCATTTCATGTTCATCATCTGTGTCTTGTCATATTTTTTATACTTGATCCAAGCTAAAAGGCCAAGAAACAATTGACTTTTTTAGTGTACTTTTTTTGGTATAGAAATGTCCCCTTACTTAAAATAAGATCTTAATTGTTCTTAAATTCTTGATTCCAAAAGTGGCCTTCCATTTCCATTTATATAATTTGTATATGACAAGTACTACTAGTCTCATAAATCTTTTAAGGAAGGTGCCCATGTTTATTATTTTGGAACTATTTGCTTTTAGGAAAGGACAGCCACATTTCATTAATGGTGTGTGTGTGTGTGTGTGTGTGTGTGTGTGTGTGTGTGTGTGTGTCTGCCTGGTATGTGTTAATATTTTTTAAATTTTTTATTTTTTACATTCTATTATTATTGTTATTATTGTATTATATTATTACAAACATATGCATGTGGAGGGAGGCTGCATGTGCATGTAGGGACAAGAGGAGGACATCAGATGTCCTTCTGTATTCACCTTATTCTATGGAGGAAAAAGTCTCTCACAAAATCAGCAAGCTCCAGAGATTCTCCTGCCTGCACCTGCAAAAGCACTTGAGTTACAGCTGCGCATGGCAACACCCACTATTTAGTATGGGAGCCAGGGTCTGACCTTATGCTTGCAGAGAAAGCACTCCAATCTACAGAGCCATCTCTTCTGTTCATTGTTAGTGTTTGGCAGAATTCATCTTCAAGTTTCTATGTGCTTTTAGGAATTCTTGAAAGAAAACATTTGGTGCTGGCATCCATCTACAATCTCAGCACTTAGAAAGTGGAGACAGGAGAATCAGGAATTAGTTTGAGACATCTGAAAAAAAAAGGTGGGGAAGAAAGCAAAGAAAGAAAAAACCTAATGGGAGATCTTATTCTGTATATGTTTCTTTTACTGGTTGATGAATAAAACACTGATTGGCCAGGCAGGAAGACGGGTGGGGCTAGGAGATGAGGAGAATTCTGGGAAGTGGAGGCAGAAGTCAGCAGAGGAAAGAGTAAGAGGTCCAGACCCTTCTCTGGTAAGAAAGACCACGTGGGGATACTTAGATTAATAGAAATTTGTTAATAATTAATAGAGAACTAGCCAATAAGGACAAGCCATCGGCTGACAGTTTCATAATTAATATAGTGTCTATGTTCATTTGGGGCAAGGAGGCTGTGTAACTGGGCGGGAAATTCCATAACAAAATGGTGCCGGCAATGTGGGTTGTATGAACTTCACATAGAACCTGACAAAAGCTTAAAAGGGGATTTTAAAAACAAAAGAACAAGTCAGGCATTGGTGGTGCATGCCTTTAATTCCAGCACTCAAGAGGCAGAGGCAGGAGGGTCTCTGTGAGTTCGAAGCCAGCCTGGTCTACAGGGCGAGATCCAGGACAGGCTCCAAAACAATACAGATAAACCCTGCCTCGAAAAATAAAACAAACAAAAAAACAGAGACAAGCACAGTTTCCTGGTAGCAACAGGGTAAGCTGTTTGCCAGGTGTTCTTAGAGACAATCAGAGGCTCTTGTGCGGCTCCTGGATTCACTGTAAGTGGCAAAAACCACCACAAGGCTTTTTTACCAAACAAGTGATGTTTGGTAAAGACTCATATGGCTAGAAAAAAGTACGGATATGCAGTAAAGACAGATTTTGATGAAATAAAACCTCTAAAGGGTTTACAGTGTGTTTAAAAGTATACATAGGCTTGGGAGAGAAAAGAAATAGAGTATCTGTGTGTGGTGGCACATGCCTGTAATTACAGCACTCAGGAGGTAAAGGCAAGCACATCTCTGTGATTTCAAGGCCAGCCTAAAGTACAGAGTGAATTTCAGGACAGGCAAAAGTACACAGAGAAACCATGTCTCACAAAATAAAAAAAAAAAAATAAAAAATAAAAGTAAAAGAAATAGAGCAATAATAAATAAATAAACCATGTAGAGATGGAAAATATACAGTATGGATATGTATGGATAGTATATGCTATTGTGTTATCTTTGAATTTTTTTTTATTTCTAAGGAAGGAACAACAACTGCTAAAAGACATTTGATTATAAATGCCGCTGAATTAATCCAATGTATATATTTTGAAAATGCTTTGACTTCAAAATGTAAGTCTAAGGACAGGTTGCTTTGGAAAAAGTTTTTGTTCT